TAAGAAGAACAATTCTTCTCCCGCCTCCTTGTAACAACCTTCTATGTACTTGAAAACTGTTCTCATGTCCCCTCTCAGTCTTCTCTTCTCCAGACTAAACAAACCCAATTTTTTTTTTTTCAATCTTCCCTCATAGGTCATGTTTTCTAGACCTTTAATCATTTTTTGTTGCTATTCTCTGGACTCTCTCCAGTTTGTCCACATCTTTCCTGACATGTGGCGCCCAGAACTGGACACAATACTCCAGTTGAGGCCTAATCAGTGCGGAGTAGAGTGGAAGAATTACTTCTTGTGTCTTGCTTACAACACTCCTGCTAATACAGCCCAGAATTGTTTGCTTTTTTTGCAACAGCATTACACTGTTGACTCATATTTAGCTTATGATCCACTGTGACCCCCAGATCCCTTTCCGCAGTACTCGTTTCCTAGGCAGTCATTCCCCAATTTGTATGTGTGTGTGCCTTTTCCTTCTAAGGGGCAATGACTCCAATCCAGCCCCAAATTTGGGGACTGCCTGGCTCATGCAGGTGGGGAAGGGGGTCCTATTCCCCTCTAGGAGCGTTGGTTCTGATCCAGACCACGTGATTAGAGAAAAACAGGCTGTTCCCCTTTGACCAAGCCGCTAGGTCTCCCCAGTATGAAACGAGGCTGCTGGGTCTAAGCCTGGTGCCAACATGGCACAAACCCTGGCTCTACCGGGGAGCTCGTCCTTCCACCCTAGTCCCCTTGATTGCTGCTGTTGCTGCAGGGCTGCCCCTGAGATGATCTCCATGCTGAAGCGGAACTCCTGCGGCAAAGCCCTGGATATTGCCCGCCAGGCCAGAGACATGCTGGGGGGCAACGGCATCGCCGACGAATATCATGTCATCCGACACGTCATGAACCTGGAGGCTGTGAACACCTATGAAGGTAAATCTCCCCCCCCACACTCCATACACCTCTGTATCAAATGTCATGAAGGTTCCTAGGATTTCCCAGCTCCTTCGGGACAGTGGAGGTAAGGGATAGAAAGCAGGATGCTCTGGGGTGCTGTGCTTCAGGGAGCAGGGTGGGCCTCAGTAGGAGGCATCCTCCCCTCCAATCTAATCTCCCTGTGTCAGGTTGGGGCTTAGAGCTCCAACTGAATATGATGTTCTTGCTGTATGCTGCTGAAACAGCTGCCATGTTCCACCCCAGAGGTGGCTGCATGTTAGTGATTTGCTTCGCTCGTCGCTAATATAGTCTTTTTTCACCTTCCGGGGGAAGCAACCCCTGCCACTGTTTGATGGATAATCTTGGAACATGCTCATCCCTGTAGCATCTGATGATTTACGCCTGGTCTATACACAGGTTTTACCCCCAGATAATGGTGTTTGTTGGGGGGGCAGGGGGTGACTTTCATTTACCAATATAGTTACATGAGTACAACCACTAGTGTGGACATGATAGAAGGGGAATAAAGGTGCCTTATACTGATATGGCATATTCCCCTTCCCATATGTCAGGAACTTCACTGGTATGTAGCACCAGTACAACTGTGTCCACACAGATAGTGGTTGTACTACTGGAACCGTTTTAGCCATGCCAGTCTAATTAAACTTCTGTATGTAGCCAAGACCTTGTATTCGTTCCTCTTTCACTGGATTTCAGTTTTACCTTTTCTAGTCTCCTGGGTTTCGTGCTACAAAAGCCATGCTGCTGGGGGGAAAGGTTTGGGGTTTGTTTCCTTACAAAGGGATCCATATTCTCCCACGGTTGTTATGATGCAAACCATCCTCTCTGCAACAAAGCAGCCAAAATCTGTCCTTGCTAGCTCCGGAGAGGCAGTTCCATGGAACTGAGACATACCGCATGCAAATTGGTGACTTCCGGTTATCCTAAACATCACCCAGTGAGATCTTTGTTCCCGTTTCTCTTCACTCCACAGGCACGCATGATATCCATGCTCTCATCCTTGGCAGAGCAATCACCGGACTTCAATCCTTCACCGTCGGCAAATAAATCCAATATGGAGGAGGCCTATATCACCTTTGCCTTAAATTCACTACATCAGAAGAATGATTGTTTTGTATACAAAGATTTTTGATTTTTCTTTCTCAAGATAATAAGTCACAAGCCAGAGGCTGCTGCTGTGATACAGAATCTGAATGTAGCTCTTCGGGCTGATTCCTGGATTCTCTCTTACTTTGCAATACAATTCCCCCCCAAATCAGCTAGTTGGTTTTCAAGCTCAAGGATCTGGGAGGTCATCTTCCGCTCTGTTTGCCGTAAAGGATCAAGGAGAGAGGCTCAGTAGCGGACCGTCTTTGCCAGCATTGCATTTGTATTTTGGGGGTATGGGAGAGGGTGCAATTAGCGAAACTTCTGTGAAGTGGATTGTCATGTAACAAAAGTCAGTGGATTTGTGATGCTGGATTGGCTGCTTGATGCATGGAGCTGGCTTGCTTGCTTTCTCCTTGATTGTAAATTCAGGAGCTGTGTGGGAAAGCCCGCCTGTTTCAACAGGGCGGGAATGCACTGTCAGTCATCAGTGGTTCACCTCTCCTTCCACTGGGTGTCCAAGTTCAGCTAACTTGCTTCTCAGAATTATCTGAATGGAGGCACTATTGCATGCTGGGAGAACTCTCTGCTCTTTACAAAGCTGTGTTGAAGCCGTAAAACCTGAATCTTCACACACAGCCAGGTCATGAGACGTGTCAAACGGGCATCTGCACAATGTAGCTACTGAGCTAAACGTTGTTACCGAGGTGAAGCAATGCTGTACAGGGCTGGGGGTCAGAATGGGGTTAAATTCCTGGTTCTGCCACGGACTTACTGCAGGCAACTCTATGCCTCAGTTTCCCCAGCTGTAAGACCCACAGAAGACACATTTAGCATTCCTGTTACCAAATTTCTCTTTCACAGTATCCCACAGTTGAACCCAGCTGATCTCGTATCCCTTCTGTTACTTACATGAATAAATTTTAAAATATATGGTATCTTGCATTTTCGGTTTGCGGTGGTTAGTTGTTTGTGTACCTTGCAACCCGCTGCTGGATAGAATCGGAGCCGCTGAACTGTGTAAACTGTTAACATTTTGTGGCTGGTTGCCCTGGCCATTGCAAAACAGAAGAAAATGACCAGCAAAAGGCTGTGTTCAAATTTCACATCCCTTCACTCAAAGGTAACTTTCTTGACTTGGGAAGGTTGTTGAGACCTCTCGGATTGTAGGGCTTGGGGGTGAGTGGTGAAGTCTGAGCAGTTGAAGAGTGGCTGAGCACAGATCAAGATGTTCAGTAACTCACTGTAATGCTCCCACAATCATCAGGGCAGAAGGATTGGAAATGTGTCCCTCGGGTTGTGTATGTGAGATGCAGTCACGGGAGCTCTGGGTGCACAACTTGACTTCCTTCAGGGAAAAGTTTTCCAAAGAAACCAGGGCCAGATTTTTCAAGTGCTTGGCCCTCACAATTGAAGCCAGATTTCCGAGAGATATCAACGCCTGATGCCCTGAGCTCTTTCCTTGATCTAGGTCCGATGGTGGATGCTGAATTCTCTTGAAACTTCTGGCCCTCGGGCCTGCCTTTTTTTCCAAGGTGTTTGGCTCAAGCACTCAGATATGACAGTGATGGGGTGGTATCAGAACCTACGCAGAATAGCTGCCCTAGCTCTAGTGATGTGCTGGCGGTTGAGTTTTCAGTGCACAGTCCATCTCTGCACAAGAACCAGTATGTTCAATACCAGAATTGTACTGTAGTCTCTCTGCCAGCAGTGTTCAACTTGCTGAACAGCTGGAGCTAAATTCAATCCTAGCTGAGGCAGGTGGATTGAGCCCCTAATCTCTGGCAAATAGGTTACAAGAAAGCAAAGTTTCATACAGGCAACTGCCATGGCCTATGACTACATGTAGCTCCAGATTTTTTTCAAAGTGCTCAACACCCAACTTTGACAATCTGGTCTGTACTGTTCGTTATGTGAAATGGACATTAGACCAAGAGTAGGAGATGTGCCCTTATCAAGGGGATTAGACAGCTGAGCCATCCTTGCTTGAAAACTCTTTAACAACCAGGGTGGTTTCTCTGGATTGATCCACCTGAAACGACCCTTCTCCTCTACACCGCTTCAGGTTCCATGACTGTGGCAAAAAGTCCCAGCCCACCTACATGTGCTAAGACAATTGGGGCTGCCCCAGGAATTATAAAGTAGCCGTGTCCAGCATTGGGCAACAGGAACGGTATATAAAAATAACTTGCCGGTTTTCTGATCTGCTGGCTGTGACTGATGGGTGGAAGTGGCTTCTTAGGACAGAAAGTGCAGTGCTCCCTGCCCTTTTCCCCACACACCCCTGCTTGGCTAGGACTTTTTGTTCCTTTCCTGTAGGTCTGATGGGCAGCAGAACAGGTTCTGTTTTCAGCCCCTGCATGTGTAAGTGGTCTTTTTGTTCTCTGCGTTTGAGAATAATAAGGGCTTATCAGGAACAGCAGCTTAAACTCTGTTCTCCTGTAAAGAAACTGAGCGACAGAATCTTATGTTTTTGCTTTAAATCCCATTGTGTTTTTCATATCAGCACAGACAGCGGTTGGAAATAACGAACAGGCAAGTCACTGAAGGAGACATGTTTACAGCTATTGATAAACCAACAAAGTGGAATGTAACATTCATGTGATCTTTATAAAATGCCTTTTACAATAAACAGCGCTAGGAGAGAGTTAGCGACAACAATCTCCCCCTGCCACACTGGAAGAAAGACATTTCAAAGGCAGCAGGGTGCAGAAGTTTGACAACAGCCACTGGCCATTGCATGATCCTTTCGTATCTTCAGTGGGCTTTAATGACATCTCAACATTCCCTCCCACGTAGATAAGACTTATTCCCACTTTTATGAAGACTGACTCTTGCCAGCTGTGGTTTTTAACCTGTCTGGCTTCATGCCCTTTAGGACACTATCAGAGCTTGAAAGTTTAGGAGTTTTTAAAACAACTTTAACAATTAAACAAACTGCAACAGGAATAGAAAAAGGGGCCCTTATCTGACCTGTAGTCTTATTTTTCCTTTTGCATCAGAATAGTAGCTACACGATGGTTTGAGTGGTTCCTTTGGGCTTTTGATTCCAGCTGGCCCTTCTTCCCAGTGTTCTCACACCTCTGGCTGCACGCACAAGTCTTTATAAGCTGCCTCCACAGTGTGGCAGACTTGTCTGAGCTCCGTTTGGATCTGGCTGATCCTCTCCATTATCTCCGAGAGCTCTTGGAGCTTATCCTGCATTTGCTTGTTATGGCGATCGTAAATGAGAAACATCATTTCCTCCAGCTTCTCTGCCAAACTCGAAACCTTTTGCAGTGCAAGGAAAGACAGGCCTTAGGAATTAAAATGGATAGGAGGCTGATGGCTTGAATATTAAGGGTTGCATTGTCCCCCCACTCCCAGAGTAACAGGATGCAACTATCATTGATTTCAGTGGGTGCTCTGCCATGTTGGGATGGGGCTGAGTCTTGCCCTAAGTGTGACTTTTTTCATGAGTTTTAGACAGAGTAGACCAAAACTGATCTCTGCATAAATGTAAATGCTTACTGCAGGCTTCTTACACCATCTTCTGAAAGCATCTGGGGCTGGCCATGTGGGAGCCAGGATACTGACTCCAGGGACTGCTAGCCTGGGCCAGGCTGGCAATTCCTTATTCCTATGCAGACCCCAGCCCTACAACTGGTCCATGCAGCACTTCAGTGCAACTCCATGAGGATCTGCCTGCATGGATCTGAATGCAGGAGTGGGATCTTCATGGGAAACAGCAATATGGCACACAAGAGGATTCTAGCCTACTAGCGGCCATGTGCCCCAGAGATCAGGGCACTGGACTGCAATTCAGGACACCTGGGTTCTATTTCCAGCTCTCCCAGGAGTTAGGTGGCTAGCATGATTTTCAAAAGCCCCAAGCTGCATTTTTAGGGCTCCTAAATACTTTTGAAAATCTGGCCCAAAGCTTTAATGACCGCCTCAGCAATGGTAAGGCGGAAATAACTTCCCAAGTGCATGGAATGTGTGACCGGAGATGTGCTGAGCTGCTCCTGGTAGAGGCCATGATGAAGGTTTTGCGAGGGCCAGTGTGAAATGGGAGACGTGTTGGTTTCTGCATCTGTTGGAGATGGAAGTGGAAGCCTTATGGCAAGTTGGAGTGCATTAGACCACAGCGATCAGAAGGTGGTAAAGAATTCGAATGACTTTCCTCTTAACTTAGCTCCATGCTTTGAAGTCACTGGCATAAAATGAAGCTTTGGTTTGTTATTCCTTTTGCATAATAATCCCTAGTTTTTATCAGTAGATCTCAAAGTACTTCACAAAGGAGGTCAGTACCATTATCCCCCTGGGGAAATTGAGGCACAAAGAGGTGAAGTGATTTGTCCAAGGTCACCCAGCAGGCCATTTGCAGAGCCAAGAATAGAACCTTGGTCTCCTGGGTCCTAGTCCAGTACTGTATCCTATAAGCCACACTGCCTCTCTTAATAATAATTAATAAATATCTCACTCTCGTATAGCACTTGGGAGACTTGGGTTCTATTCCCAGTTCTTCCACGGGCCTGCTGGGTAAGCTTGGACAAGTCATATTGACCTGCTGTGCCTCGGTTTCCCCATTTTACAACAATTCTGACTTTTTGTAAGGTGCTTTGAGATCTATGAATGAAAAGTGCTAGATAAGAGCCAGGCGTTCTATATATTACAAGTTAGCGTCTGTAGCTGATTTTATAATGGAAAGCGCCCCACTGTTGCATTATTTTTCTTTACATGTATGTAAAAGTATGCTCCAAAGCATCTGATTTAATGCCTTGGAGGCAAGGAGGACATTCAGGCGGGTGATCTGTGACTGATTAACATGATTAAAATACATTTAAATAAACATTCTGTGAGTGCACAATCTTTAATGTGTGTGCAGTCAGAGTGGAGAGGAGATTAGCGAGGCAATGGGGGTTGCTGCATGTCACAGGGATTCAAGTTAGTGGGTGAGGCGTGATGTTGGGATTTCACTGATGTTGGCAGGTAAAGTGGTTTTACATTAAAAACAAGCTCTGTACTGATTCGCTGCAACGTAGCAGAGAATTGGAGAACATGGAGACTGACAGGGCCCCTCTAGTCCATCTCCTTTCAAGTAGAGTCTAGCTGCTGCTCCCCTCTTTTGTTCTGTCCGATCTACTTTTAAATGCTCTATACGGTGAAACTCCCCCAACTTTCCTTGGGGAGATGATTCCATAACCCAGTATGGGTCCCTGGGAAGAAGACCCATGCGAGAAGAAGACCTTCCTCACACGGCTTTTCCCACTCCCATGAAAATGGAGGGCTCAGCCATCCCTCCCCTTGGCCCAGTTGTCTTGGGATCTGGAGGAGCATAGGAGCATGACTGTTGGAGGAGGCGTGTGGGTTGGAGAACGCTGCACCCAGTGAAGTTCAAAAGGAAAAGAGAACACAGTTCTGGGCTGTATTACCTTTCCCACCCCATGCTGTGTGACATATCCCTCTGAGGAGGGGCCCTAGTGCAGCTCCTGCTTGGGAGGGCCTTCTAGGGAGACTCCAGGGTGTGTGTGAGAGAGGGGGATGCATCAGAAGCAAAGGGCTTTCATGCAGATGTCTCCGGTCTCAGGCCAATCCCCTGGGATATATGGTGGGTCCTGCTGCCTGTTCCAGCCTGGGGCAAACCCTGCCTCTGTGCTGGAATGACATGGGGTTTATACCATGGAAGGGGACAATCCACCCCCCGATACAGCACTTCCCCCACACACACATTTTCCTTTGCTCAGCATTAAAACCCCTCCTCCTTCACCAAGCTAGCTAACTTCTCTTCCTTCCTACTTCTCTTCCTTCCTTTGGCTTCCACCCTCGAGCCCTTGCATATAGCCATCTCACTATCCACTTCACCTTCAGCAGGAGGCTCTCCCTGAAATTGCTCATGACAGTGTGGTCTTTCTTCCGGTTCTCGTTGATCTTCTCAATCAGCTGCTGCGTTCTTTTCTGCAGATTTTCAATGTTTGAATCCAGGGCTGCGAAATAATTGGATGACTTGCCATCCAATGCTGCTACAGGCACATCTGCAGTGGGGCAGAGCAGAGATGTGCTGGGCGATTCCTTCCTGCATTTAAATTGAAATAAATGAACGTGTGTTGTATTCACCTGTACCCCAACTTACACTCAAAGGCCAAAACTTAGGTGAGTTTGAGGACTCATTGTGAAAGCATTCACTTTGTTTCCAGATAAGAGTAACTGACATATCTGAAGCAAGGGGGGAAGTTTACCTGCTCTGTGGAAAAGGTAAACTTCCCATCCTTTCCCTTGCTGTCACTCCTAAAGTAAGGGAGCATTTTAAAACCAAACAGCAAAGGTCAGATCCTCCCCTGGTCACTGGTGCCTGTATGCATGTAAGAAGGCTGCAGCTATACAAAACTACCATCACAATTCAATACATGAAGAAAAATTACAAAGACTAGAGCCAAAGTTATCGAGCAAAATCAGATGCCAAAGAAAACTGGTCCCAGCTATTTTGTTAATTTCTCTCTTGTGGGAATTTTAGTCCTTTACATTTGTGTATCCAATAATTAAAGCAGCTTATTAACCAGAATCCATTAATCACAAACTTGACAGCTCCTGTGTTAGCTAATTATATTTTATAAAGGAAATACAGAGTCCCTGTTGGCGGACTTGTTTGTGAAACTATTTCTGCAATGCTAGCAAAATTGACATCTAATTCCATTTGATGGGGGGGTGGGGGGGAATGACACACATGATGAGCAGCCTCAGGTTCTAAATCAGTACCCTTGCCTATGGAAGGCAGTGTGCTTAGGATCAGCCTTCTGGGTACATTATTGCATTAGCACATTATATACTGTACTGATCAGGATTCCCGCTCAACTCCTGATGCTATTGGCTGGCACGCCTACATCAATGTTTCTTAACCTTGCCTTATGTTGCCTTATGTTGGCATTTGGTCCTGAGGAGGCGTGGAGGAAATGGGTCTAAATAAACCAAGCCATCTGCCAAGGTGAAGCAGCTCAGTGATGGAATTAAAAGCCAGAGACACCTGCTGTTGATTAGCTCTGTCCTCTTGTACAGAAGTACAAGTTAACAACCTCCATGCCAGGTGGCTTTGTATACACTCAGTGCGCTGTATGTACACAGCTACTACAAGAGAGGCAGTGTGGCCCACTGGATTGGCCACTGCCCGGGGAGGCAGGAGATCTGGGTTCTAAATAAATACACTAGAAGTGTCAGGTGCTGGGGGGCCATTTAAGTCCCATAGAGAGGAGCTGAAAGACAAACTGCCTAGCATAACTGCTCCCATCCAAAGGGTTGTCTACACACAGCTTTTGTATCAGTTTCAAACCAGTACAGGGGTGCTGGAACAATTTGTATAGTGGAAGTGCTGAGAGTCATTGAACCAAACTGGTTTCAGAGTAACAGCCGTGTTAGTCTGTATTCGCAAAAAGAACAGGAGTACTTGTGGCACCTTAGAGACTAACCAATTTATTTGAGCATGAGCTTTCGTGAGCTACAGCTCACTTCATCGGATGCATTTGCATCCGATGAAGTGAGCTGTAGCTCACGAAAGCTTATGAACCAAACTGTAAACCCTGTATATAGTGGAATCCACTCCAAGCCAGTGGGTGCGGCATCACCCCTAGTTCCAGCACCTATGAACCAGTATAAAGCAGTACAACCCTCTAGTGTGGGTACTGTTAGCTACATGTAGGTCTTGTCTCGGGAAAATGAAACCAATATGGTTATAACTCTTAGTCTCGTCGGACAGTGTCTTTTTTTTTCAGTGTAGCATATGTCATTGCATTCACACACTAGGGGTATCCCAATGTAACTATACTAAACTAATATCTAATCATACCCCAACTGAAATAATTACATTGGTCCAAAGCCTATGTTGAGAGTAGGCATAAATGCACTGACTGTCACCACCTCTTTAAAAGCAGTAGATGTCCTGGGAACCACTTTATAGGACTTAAAATGAGTAATTCTGCCTGTGCTCAACACAAGAGAATGTGTGAGTCATTAATTAGACAGCACTTTGCATCAGGAGATCTCAAAGCACTTTACAAAAGAGGTCAGCATCATTACCCTCATTTTACAGCTGGGAAAACTGCGGCACGGGCCATTACTTGCCCAAAGTCACCCAGCAAACTAGTGGCAGAGCCAGGAATTGAACCTAGGTCTCCTGAGTGCCATTCCAGTTCTCTATCCATTGGGAAATACTGCCTCCAAACTAACTTTTTAACTTAAGAATGTAATTAGAAACATTGTCCATACCCAATTATATTAATTAGAAAACCTAATCTGAATACAGGCTGGGAAATTGCTACAATTAACATGAACAACCAGGGCATTCCCAACTATATATTTATTAAAAACACATTTCTTCTTTGGGAAATTGCTGTTGACATATTCCTGGCACAAGGCAAAGCATTTTCTCCCCTTTCTTTGGCTCTCAGCAAATATTAGACAGAAGTCTGTGCAAAACGCCTCACCTGGACAGGATCTCACTATGTAATTCACGTCTTTCTATATCATCAAAGAACGGGCTGTCCGGTTTAGCCTGCTCCTCTTCTGGCTCTGGACTTTCACATTCCTGATTAGACATTGTAACCTTTAAAAATTAGAGAGATTTTTCAGGAGGCTGCATGGATCAGGCACTGCACTGGGACTCATTCTAGCCTTTGGCTCTGCCACTAATTTGCTGTGTGACCTGAGCAAGTCACTTCCCTTCTATCTTGTCTATTTAGAGTTGAAGCTCTCCAGGGCAGGGACTGTCTCTTACAAAGTATTTGTACAACTCTTAGCAAAATGGGGCCCTGGTCTTGTTGCAGCCTCTAGTCTCTATAGTAACACATATAATTAATAAGAATAACAGAATAATCACTGACCTACATGAGCTACTAAATCAAACTGAGAGTTTTAAACTCATATCCAGTAGAGCTTGATAGGAACTTTTGATGACATTTATGGGGGATTGGAAAATGCTGATTCCTCCTAACTGAATCTTCCCATGGGACCATGTCAGTTTCAATTATTTTTTTGTTTTGAAAAAGAATTTTTTGAAAAATATCAAAACAGCCAGTTTTGACATTTTCATAATTAAACATTTGGAATTTTCAGTTCAAAACTACTTTTTGTTTAAAAATCTATGTTATTTTATATTTTAAAATGTTTTTAAAATAAAAAAGGTCAAAACTGAAACACAACATATTGAATTAATGGAAAGGAAATATTTCAATTTACCCCAAATCATTTTTTTCAGTGTTTCAGTTTATGAAAAATTTTGAGACTTTGGCTCTTCGTCCCTATTTGGAACCAGGAAAAAAGTCAAACTCTCAAAATTTGTCATAGAATGGGAAATCCATTTCCTGACCAGCTCTAATATTGAATCTGCTTCTCTTCTACCCTAGTTTTACACTGATATAACTTCACTGGAGTTACTCCCAATTTACCTAGAGAGCTGGACAAAATACGCTATTTTTATCTCTGACTTGATTTTGCTTGGAGAGTTTGAAATAGTCTGTATTTTATTAGATGTACTATAAAACAAAATTTGCTAAGAAAAACTGTTAAAACACTGAGGATATATATATAAATATAAAGACACTGCAACTCTAACCTCTGTTAGAGGACTACGAAATTACATCGATCTAGAAACATTTTTAGCTTTCTAGCTGTATAAGTCAATTGTATTTACCTAGATTGTAAATTCTGTGAGATAAGGACTGTCTTTTTGTTATGGGTGTATGTACCACATCTAACACTATCCCCACTGGATTTGTGCTGGAAATGGCCCACCTTGATTATCATACACATTGTAAGGAGAGTGATCACTTTAGATAAGCTATGACCAGCAGGAGAGTGGGGTGGGGGGAGAGAAAACCTTTTGTAGTGATAAACACCCATTTTTTCATGGTTTGTGTGTATAAAAACATCTTCTGTATTTTCCACAGTGTGCATCCGATGAAGTGAGCTGTAGCTCACAAAAGCTTATGCTCAAATAAATTGGTTAGTCTCTAAGGTGCCACAAGTCCTCCTTTTCTATCCCCAGTCAAGAGGTTCTAGCAATTACTAAAATAGAAATAATGATAATAATAATTAATAATTAATAATAAAACACCTAGAACCTACACTGGTTACCTGGATTTGAAAGTGTAACCTTGTCTGACCTCAACCAAGATCTTCAAAACTCTATAGGAATTTAATTTTGAAAAGGAGAGATAAGTACATACAATGTTTGTTAAATTCACATCATTTACTAAACTGAAATGTTGCAGGAAGCTAGCTGTTGACCAATCACTACAATTCTACTCCACACCCTCCCTCTTTTATATAACTAGATAAATTTTACTGGGAAAAATCTGACTTCAGGATTCCCACCTCTGAGACATTGCTGTTTTTCTTAAAGACCCAGCTCCTGGGATCATGTGAGCATCTCAGTTTTCATTAAAAACAAAAAATGAAAGAAGTCATTCCTAAGTCTTGTGGATGAGAATAAATGCTTGAAATCATGACCCCCTAAAGATAGCAAATAATCTGTCATCGTAATCTGACAACCCAAATTTATTTGTCTATTGATTATTTTTAAGCCATGATTTTTTTAGAATTTGGGGTTGGATTTTTTTGGGTTGGCAGTATTGTGACTCTTAATATTTGCTTTAAAAAAAAATCAATTGATCAAAGATTTTCTCATGCTCAAAAAGGGCCTAAAAGAATTCCCACTGTGTCTGAATACTGATGGTAAGCGTTAAATACATTGAAATTAGTCAATTCAATCAAATTAGAGGAGATGGATAGCTAGATGGGTGTGTGTTTTGCCTGCTAGATAAATAGATCGGTGAATCCTACCAGTGTGTGTGTGTGTGTGTGTGTGTGTGTGTATATATATAAACCCCTCTAATTTGATTTAATTCTGTAGGGTGGGGTGCTTGTTTTGTTCCCTCCTAAGGGTGAAGGGGCTCCTATATTGCCCCATAGGAGCATGTGGTGCCCTATAGCAAGGCTGGGGGGATCCCCAATGGGCCAGTGTGAGGAGCCCCTAGGGGAAAGGACCCCCACATGGGACAGCTGTACCCAGGCTCACAGTGCGGGAGACCCCATAGGGGGGGTGAGCAGCCTGTAGATGGATGAGGACCCGATATCAGGGCTCACCAGGTGAATTTCATATAGAACTGGGGGGGCTATATTAGGGCTCTCAGGGGGACCCTACAGAACTGGGGGGGCTGTATTGGGGCTCCCAGGGGGGCCCATATAGAACTGGGGAGGCCTGTATTAGGCTCCCATATAGATGTGACCCCTCTATTATTGCAAGCCTCTCGGTGGGGCCTGTGGGGGGGGCTCACCCCAGAGATTGGGCTGGATCGGGGCTCCCAGCGCCCCTCCCCCCTCCCCGCAGCTTTTCCCGCCACTTCCCTGCCCCTTAACGGCCCCGCTGAGAAGAGGGGTGGGCCGGGCCTGGGCCGGAGAATGCCAGCCCTGCTAGCCAATCAGCGCCCTCCCCGCCCTCAGCTCCTCCAATGAGATGTCGAGGGGGCATGAAAGCGGGGAGTGAGGGGGAGTCCAGGCTGGGGAAGGCGGAGGTGGTGGGAACCAGGCTGGGGGAAGGGGACAGGGCTGAGGGCTCCAGGTTGGGGGAGGGGGGCTGAGCTGGGGGGACCGGGCTGGGGGAGGGGAGGCAAAGCTGGGGGAAGGGGCAGGGCTGAGGGGTCCAGGCTGGGGGGTGGGGGTGGGGCCACATCCAACACAGTTTGGCAGAATTAGTTGCACAAAAGACAGCTGGACTAGCAGGGAGCCTGGGTGGAGAGCACTGCAGTGTTGGGGGGATTTTCATCCCCCCAAATCTAGAGCTTGCATTAATAAAGGAAACACTGAGTTTGGAACAGAAGCTAGCCCCCCCCCCCCCCCCCAAGCATTGTTTACACTCCTGTTGCAGGTGGGGATTGAGATTGAAGGACATTAGCAGAGCTCTGGGGGATGGGTAGTCCAGGACTAAATAGCTGTAGAACTATGGGTTACTCGTGGTGTGGAAGGGTTTTGCTCACTCATCCCCATTTTCTCCATTCAATCCGAGGTGGCCATAGGACAGGAATGACAAAGAAATCCTAGATAGTCACAGATTTCTGGCAGGTTTCAGGTGCACCTGGAGAGCAATTTGGAGAAGCATGAACATCATCTACCCTCACTTGTTGCTTTAGCCCCTAGGAGATTTTGGTTTCTGTGGCTCAGAAGCGCAGGATCTAAAGCATCCCCTCATCTCACTGTGTATGCACCTCCCTGGTGTTCTTCATGCCTATGTGAATGCAACAGGTTCCAAACAGTAAAAAATGAAAATAAACTGGTAGTTGCCAGCGGTGTTGAAAACACAATTATTAAAGAAAACACTACAGACAGAGGCATTCTTGGTTTCATGGCGAGAGGGCTCTTTAATACAAATTTGCATGATTGTGTCCAACCAGGGGATGCAACTTCTACAGAGATGTATTTGTCTGCTGCTTTTTAGAGTCCGGTTCTCCCCCATCCCAATCCAATCTTGTATAAGGGAAGTAGCTGGAAACCAGCAAGAGATGGTTAAACCATCTTGGCTTTGTTTTGAATGCCTGCTTGTATTAAGGAAGCAAAGTTGCATTCCCAGCCCTCCCCAACGCTGTCTGGAACTGCTTAATAAAAATTCGTAGATTTGTTCTACGTAACTTCTCCTATTTACGGCGATTCACATTATTCAATGCTTGCATTTCAAAGGCTAGTTAAAATTATATTAATCCTCCTGCTCAGAGAGATCCATGCATTTCTCTTTTAATCCTTGGATCTAAAAGTGCTATCCCATTTTAGAGCTGGGGAAACACACAAGGAATTGGAGTGATGTGCAGCAGAGTCAAAGTTAGAACTTGGGATATAATTCTCATTTCCTTTGTGAGGATGGGTCCTTTAAGACAATTTGACTGTCTCCATATTCTGACAGGTTTCAGAGTAGCAGCCGTGTTCGTCTGTATTTGCAAAAAGAAAAGGAGTACTTGTGGCACCTTAGAGACTACAGCTCACGAAAGCTTAAGCTCAAATAAATTGGTTAGTCTCTAAGGTGCCACAAGTACTCCTTTTCTTTTTCCATATTCTGAGGCTGTGCAGGTCCCTGTAAATTACAGTGTCTTTGAGGTTGCTCTAATTTATGCTCTGCTGCCAGTGGCCCCCACTGGGCCTGTATTCTGGAACCATTTTGACCCACCTTAAGCCTCCTTTATGCTACCATTAGTGTGACTGAGAATCGACCCCATTGAATGGCCACGCGGGCGTCATGCTATCTACACACAAATGGACATCTGAACAAAAGGCTTGTGTCACTTCCTGGCTCCTCTCTTGTTAAGGGTAGTCCATCCTCAGTTCCACACAGGAAGTCCCTGTCCAGGAATAACCATTTCAGATTGATCAAAGATCCAGTATTTAAGAACAAGGGATGCCTCACATGTATGTGTCATTGCCTTCATTCTGTTTGCCTGATGACTTCACTTCTAATAAGAATCATTTAAAAAACAGTCCACTGAAGAAGGCTGGGATTTCCAAATAGGTGTTTAGACCCCACTGAAATTCAGTAGGAGACTAGTGCCTTCTTCC